ATGCTACATCTGAACTTCCCTGCTGCTGCGGAACAACTGAATAGCCCAGAAAGGGAACAGGACTGAAGCAGGTGGCCGGGGAGGCCAATAATGCAGGACAGTCCATTTTAATGGCACTGAATAGGCTGAGGCGGAGATCTCCTGCTACAAAGGAAAGACCAAATTGCCCCGAAGTACGTGTCCGTTCCTGCCCTGGAAGTCTGAAGCCCTCTGGCTGCTGCGACAGGGAGGCTTCCTCGTAGGAGGGCTGCTGAGCCTCAGTAGTGAGTCAGGCAGATCAGCTACGTCCTGGATCTACGTGAAGTGTGCACAGTGCTCAAGGCAGCACTGAGATCAGAGCGGGAAAGTCAGGAGCCCAGCCTAGAGGAGCAGCACTCCCAAACATCTGCCCATTTTGAGCACAACATGAAGCCAGGGCTGTGAGAGCTTTACCTGTCAAGGAGCAAAAGCAATCACCCCCGGAGCTGAAGGCAGGGGAGCCCCCGGCAGCAGGAGGTCCGCTGCCAGCAGGCGTTCTGGAAAACAAAAATGAGGAGGTTTTGAACCCAGCCGGCGCAGCCCCACACACCGTCGGGCCCGGGCACGTTGTGCTGGTGCACCAGACGAGGGACGATGCCCCTTTTCTGCTTGCGAATTGTAGGGCTCAGCTGCCTGAGGAGGGAGGTCTTGCTCACACTGCAGCTTGCAAGAGGAAAGGGAAGCCAAGACAGCCCATTTGCCCTAGATAACACACTGCAGGGGCCCAATTCTTTCTGAGGGAGACTTCCTGTATTAAGGCCAACCTCTCACAGTTTCTCTCCAGTTTCAGTTGTTTTAAGAGCACAGAGAAAAGACTAGCCAAAGAAACTCTCATCTGGAAGAAAAGGAGAGCACAAGCCCTTGATGTCTCCCACCTGGGTCCCTCTATCCAACACTACGCTGGCTGTAGGTAATCCCCCAGAACTACAGTTACGCTCCTGAAGTACAAACCGCGTACAGCAAAAGAGTTGTTACTGCCCAAGGAGGGGTGGAAGAAAGAGGGTTTTTCCATGCATTTACAAAGATGGCATCTCTTTGAGGAAGAGGAGGGCTGGATGAAGACCCAGCCACACAGACAGCACAAGAACGGTGGTGCCATGTTTGGCGCTGCAGCCAGGCCATCTTGTTCAGTACTTCATGTCCAACAGCAGCCAGCAGATGATGCTCAACAACGAAAGCGAACACAGTGCAATGCATTCCTCATCGTACGCTGCCAGCATCTGCCAAGACGGGGCGGACTCCCTCACCGTTACACCGGGATCTTTACATAGCTTGATGGCACGTATTTGTCTGCACACATACACGGATGAAAATCAGAAACTTCTGACCTCAACAAGAGTTTACGTTGAGTTCTACAGTCCACTGCAGGAAAAGCATTTCTGTGTCTTTTCAACCCATTTCTTGCTGATTTCCCTCCATAACCTCTTGCTCTCAGGTTCAGGAAAAGAGCAGCTTTTGATGCCCCGGTTCTCCTCTGGACCGTTGCTTGTTCCCTTTTGAAAGGCTGTGCAGTAAAGCACGTATATAAATGGGCATCCACATAAACTGTACGGCTTGGCCACAGTGTGGCTTCGTAGCAAGGAAGACGGTATTTTCCATTCCACTCTGTCTTTGTGGACAGTACTCTGTTTTAAACAATCCCCGTGGCTGAGTGACTGAGAAATGGTTCCTGAGCAGCAGTAGCTAATTTAGAGCACATCACGGTGTTCGCCAAACTAAGATAAACATTAAGTAACACACTGGTTTATGTCTTATCAAGAACAGATCTCATCTCTGGCTATCACCCAAGCTTTTCCTAGCTGCCATAGCTTGGTCTAGCCTTTACTGAACAGTTTTTCTACCTGGTGAAATCTAGCCAAGCTGGTAAAATCTAGACCTAGGCCTGTCTACGTGCTCAGGGGGATCCTCCGCTCTCATCCCTAGACTACAAAGTAGCACCAGACATGAAGGTCCTGCACCCTGTCCCGTTTATCCAGAAACGAGTCGGTTCCTGCTGCAGTTTCCCCAAGTAACTTGCAAAGGTCCTTTGCCACCCCAGTGTTGCTGAACCCTTGCAAATTGCCTATGAAGGGCAACCTGCCTGCCTCAGAAGGGAACCAAGAGCTTCAGGAGTGATCCCTGGACTCCCAGAAAGCAGCAACGAGCCGGACGCTGGCAGACCCCGTGTACATTCTGTGGGAACTGGACACGGAGGACAAGTTATTTCCACAGAAAACCAAAGCCAAGACCCTACTGAAAAGTGCTTCTGTAGCTATCTGGTACCTTTTCTGCTTCCAAAAGAAAAAAAATTGCTCCTTATTCCCACTGATGTATTTTCTTGTCCTGCATACCAAGGACAAATAGTTTAGTCTATGAGGACCACTGACCCAAAATGAGCTCCAAGGAGGAAGGAGGCCTAGCGATCTCTCCCTCTACAACATCTCTACCTCTTGAAATCAAACATTTCATTCAGTCCATCCCATGGCCTTGGCTTGCGTTGCAGAGGCCAGGCAACAGCCCAGACTGCAGCCGTGGGGGTCCACATTGTGCATTCACTTATTTCCACCCAGGCGATTCAAAACAGTTTGCTTTTACAAAGCCTGAACACAAGGATCAAAATGAACATCCCCTGCTCCCTCCAGGGGAGCAGAGAAATATCTAGCAAAGGACCAGGCAGATGGGAAGCTTCACAGGACTTGGCTGAGTAGATAAGATAGGAGAAATACTGCATATTCAGACACAGAAGCATATTATAGGCAGGACAGCAAAAAAAGGAAACAGGAACAGCTAAATTGATAATGAAACGGCGCTGTCACAAGCTACGTATTTTGCTGTCCCAACCAAGTCATACCCAGTGGAAAAAATGACACTAACTGCAGAAGGACGCAGGGCTAGTAATTCGGTGACTTTGGCCACAGGCTGGACTTCCCAAGACCCAGTGGTAAGCCACTCCACTGGTCAAATTCTCATAAACGTCCATGTCTCTGAGAAGCAGAAGCATAACGTGGGTCTTATATGCACTTCAAGTTCTCACAGGACTCATCCTGAGCTGCTGGGAAAAAACGTAAGGAAAAGATCTGAAAGGTCAGTACCATCGGTCAGCAAAGACGTTACGCCATCGGAAAGGAAATGCTACTAGACAGACCAGTATTCCAGCATCAAAAGGAAGGACCCTGGGACAGGAGCAACTGGGACAGATCTCTAAGCTAGAAATACTTTGACAGGGGAACAAGAGGCAGACAAGTTAGAGGGACGGCATGTCCTCTGGCGAGAGACTGCACTTAGAAACACTCCTCGTCTGAGCTACTGCCCAGCGCTGCTCCTTTCTTGCACCCGGGAAGCAGAAGAGATTGCACGAGAGACAGCACCACCGACATTTTCCCCAGAACAAATGAGGCAAATCGTTGCCTTGACAAGGAAGCTGTGTCCTACCAACGCGTTCCCAGCTAATGGAGGATCAGGCTCTGCCAACAAAAAGGAATTTCAGTGCCTGAACAGAGCAATGCTGCACAGTTCAGCGTCTCCCAGGCCTGTCAGCCCACCTTAGTCTGCTGCTAGTTATCGTTTGGCTCTTGTGTGCAACCCAGACATCACCAATGTTATTTTTTAAGCTATGTTTTGCCCCTTGAGGTTCAGCTCAAGCTTTCTAAATGGCAGGTTATACCTAGCAGGACAATTAAGATAAAGAAACTGTATTCCTGTGTTTACACACAAAATAGGATCCGTATTCTACTGTTCTAAGAGCTAGTTAACGTATAAAACACCAAAATACCTGAGTTTTATTAGGGAAGGATGTTTCATTTTATGTCTGGTCACACAGACCAGTGCATGAGAGGAAAAGAAGAAACAAAGGCAAGAGGAGAGCACCAGCCACCTTTCAGCAGGTTCCTCTAAGTCCTAGGCCCTGTCAGAAAGCACTGCCTTCCTCAGGAGCCGCCTCTCCCGCAGAAATCTCTTTGTTAACACAACTTGGTCATGTCGCTCCTCCCTAGCAGGCAGAAATAGAAGGCACTTAATCAAAACTTAAAGAGTTGAGACACAAGAAGATGGAGGCATCTCTTCAGGGGCAGCAGAACCGATCTTTCTGAAGAGAGACCTCGCTGAGACACGAAGAGCAGCAAAAAGGCTTGCGCTCATTTGAAGATGAGGGCACATAAGACAGCGAGGCCAAGTGAAAGGAGCTGGCTAATGCAGGGAGGAGGAAGAAAAGCAGTGTCATCGCAGAGGCAGCCACGCACAGGACCCAAGTATGGAGCTGGCCGTAAGGTCAGATGGGAAGAGTTTGTGGAAAGGTCTCCAGAGAAGTCTGCCAGGCACGTGTGAATCTGTAGTATGCTCCATTTTGAACGCCTCTAAACAGTTAAGAATCTCTCAAAAACTTACAATACACACACAAAGTAGGATTTTAAAAATCAAAACTCGTGAGTTTGAGCTCATCCTGCAGCTCTGAGGAGTTACACTCCCACCAGGTGCCCAAGTCCCCCCAACCCATCCACGCTCCCCAAAGGCACGGCCACAAGCTCCGTGTTCAGCACAGACTGACACACCCGCATCCACCCAGGCAGCACCCGGGGAGATACCCGCTCGCCGCCCCGCTGGGGGCCGCTCTGCAGGACCGTCACTTCGAAATTCAGGTCAGAACAGGCTTTGGGATGACAGCAGACCCTGACCAGGGAAAGTGTTCACACTGAAAAGCAGCAACGCTTCAGTGGCCAGCACTCAATTCACACCCTTGCAATTGTATTTTTGAATAATTCCAAGAAAAAAAAAAACGTGGTAACTTGGGTAAAAATTTATTTTACATACAGACCATTGCAACTTAACTATTAATCAAGAGAAGTTATTTTTCCTTTCCAGGAAGTGACCAGCTGGTCTGAGATTAACAGAATTCTAAGCCTGAGAGCTGGGATTTTAATTTGGAAATCAGATCTTGCGGGGAGGGTCCTTCCAAGCACCACTCAGTTCAGCGAGGAGCTGCAGGACTTCAGCTGCAGGTCAGCTGCGCCGCACAGTGCTGGAAGCAGATTCCCAGAGTCAGCTCGGACCTTTCCAAAGCTGAACTGGCTGAGAAAGATGATGCCTGGAAAGGTACGGATGCATTTCCAATATTTTGTTCAGCTCTCAAACTAGAAATGGAAGTGGTGAAACAGCACAACCTCTGTGAAGTACAAAACATCGAGTTACAAGGCAGCAGACAAACAGGACAGCAATAATGGCGGGGACCCTCCTAAGCCAAGTGTTCTACATGTAGCGGGTTCCTGGCCGAGTTCATACTATGGCCCTAGTTCAAATGGACAGAGTACAAAAAATACTTTGACCAATAATTAATTGTACTGGAAACAAACAGTCTACTAAAAAGCAATTCTTACTCTAGGTGCCAATGAGTCCTTAAAAGCAGGGAGGGGACTGAGGAGCTGCACTTGGGCAGTGCTGCCAGGATCATTCACGCTGCTCCATTTTTACTTTGGGAGGTCTCAGGAAGGTCCTGTTTTTCTTTTCTTTCTTCCCCTTTGTATTTGCCTGGAAATTTCTCCAGCTGTCCACACGACCATCCCGACTTTCCTGCGAACAACAGAGAGGAAAGGGAGAGTTAAGAAGTGCAAGAGCCAACGAGCAGGCAGTACGTACCAGCTTCGAGAGATCAATAGCAATTTCCCCCTTATCCAGCATGTAGCAGCCTGGCAGCCAGGACATACAGACACTGTGAAGAGCCAGAGCAACAGACACAGCACAGTGGAAGTACAAGTGAGCTTACAAACACCAGTATAAGCACTATGCTGGTTTCTTGTTTCAGAAGCAACCAGCCTGGGATGTGCAGTCCTGACGAGAGCCTGCTAAATCCTCTGATGCGCAAAGAGACAAGAAACCTCATCTCCCATGGATGTTCCTGATCTGTCAGCCCAGAACGCGCCATTTCCTTACTGTCTCACATCCTTGAGACGGCTCTCCTTGTGCTGTAGCCTGGAGGCATGGAGAAGAGAGAAGGGAAATGGAGAGACCAGAGAAGAGAGAAGGGAATGTACTGCTGTCTTCTCTCACGCTTCTTGCCCCAAGCTTCATCACAAAGACACAATGAGAAAAGATCTCTGGCGCGCTCCTCTCTCCTCTCCCTGGCCTGCCTGCAGAGCAGCAGAAACCCTGCCTGGACACCAAAAAAAAACCCACCCAACTCCCCACGAAGCCAATCTGTGATCCCTACAGGCTGAAGGTTTCACACAGTAGGGCAGAACAAGTTCAGGGATGATCCACTTCACAGTGTGGGATCCATACACTCGAGGCCCATCTGGCCACGGCTGTGCCTGCCATAGCGGTGCTGCACACAGGCTCTGTCTGCTTCACTCCCCTCATTCCCCGCCACAGGATGGGGGAAGGCCAGGCACTGGCAGTGACCTGGATGATGGGGCAGAGCGCACCCTCAGCAGATGACACCACACTGGGAAGGGCTGCTGACAGGCCAGAGGGTCGTGCTGCCATCCAGAGGGACCTTGGCAGGCTAGAGGACTGGGCTGACGGGAACCTCATGCAGTTCAACAAGGAGAAGGGCAAAGTCCCACCCCTGGGAAGGAACAACCCCACGCACCAGCACACGCCGCGGGCCCCCCGCCTGGAAAGCAGCTCGGTAGAAAGGCCCTGGGGGTGCTGGTGGACACCAGATTGAACACGAGGCAGCAATGTGCCCTTGCTGCAAAGACGGCGAATGCTGTCCTGGGCTGCACCAGGCAAAGCATGGCCAGCAGGCTGAGGGAGGTGATCCTTCCCCTCTGCTCAGCACTGGTGAGGCCACCCCTGGACTGTTGTGTCCAGTGCTGGGCTCCCCAGTACAAGAGACATGGACATACTGGAGAGAGTCCAACAAAGGGCCACAGAGATGATGAAGGGACTGGAGCATCTCTCCTTTAAGGAAAGGCTGAGAGAGCTGGGACTGTTCAGCCTGGAGAAGACAAGGCTCGGGGGGATCTCATCAAGGTGTACAAGAATCTGAAGGATGGTGGAAAAAAGACTGAGCCAGGCTCTTCTTGGTGATGTCCAGTGCCAGGACCAGAGGCCATGGACACAAACTGAAACACAGGAGGCTCTACCTGAACATCTGGAACATTTTTATTGAGGGTGACTGAGCAGTGGCACAGGTTGCCCAGAGAGGTTGTGGAGTCTCCATCACTGAGGATATTCAAAAGCCATCTGGACATGGTCCTGGGCAACTGGCTCTAGGTGGCCCTGCTTGAGCCGGGGGGTTGGACCAGACGGGCCCCAGCGGTCCCTTCCAACCTCAACCGTTCTGGGATCACACTTTTGCTAGGGATAAGGCTGTGTGGCAACTTCTGTTCTAACCTTCTTGTTTCTTACAGTTTCGTGGTAGAAATTACTAAGAAAGTGAATTTTGAGGGTGGGGTGGGAGAAAGTAGATGTTCTAACCTGCTCCTTCTAAACCACATCGAGATATAATTCAGCTCTGAAAGCAGCCTATGAATAGCTTCTAGAAACAGCAGGCAACCACTTGGATGACACAGATATTCCTATGAGGATTCAGAAACACTGCAGAACATACACGAGGGACAAAACCTACAGGTTTGAGGGTAAAGAGACAGGATCAGAACCAGGATGCAGTATGCAGACAAGGACTGGAATCACCAGGAGCAGGAAAGCCCAGAAGAGCAATGCAGAGGTACGACATGAGCACCTTTAAAGGCTGGGATTTTTGTGTTGAGTTTGTTTGGGGTTTTTCTGAAACTGAGACAGAACCACAATTGCAGAATATCAACTTAAGGTTTTTTTCCTGATGGTTTAAATATCATTCGAAGCAGCAACACACATACTCCTTTCGGATATATTTTAAAGGCAGCCACTGAATTAGTCCACATACAGGAGCAGCCAAGAATTCATGTGTTATTTTGTCTCCCATATCCCTCTCTCAATGATGGTCACTATCAGAAATAAGCTTCTTACTCTCGTGTATTCCAGTGATCCACGTTGGACATTAACCCCTAGCTTTGATACTGTCTGTTCACATGGATTAAATGGTCACCAGCAAGGCTGGAGAAGACACCTGCAGAGTGGTTGAGGACATGCAGGTACCCAGAGCCGCAATATCAGTAGTTCTGCAGCTCCCCTGTTTGGTCCATCCTGTTTGCTTGTGATACTGGCTCACATTTCCTCAGCTGCTATCCTTTACTGCACCCCTACAGCAATGACACCCAAATTCTGTGGCCATTCTGGTGTGAGAACACAGAATGTCTGCCAGCAGCAAGGCCAGTGACATACTCATTTATCTCTCTGGCATTACATGACAAAACCCATGGCGCACTCAACACAGCAGCATTACACAAGTTTTTCAGAATATCCAGCTGCTTATATCCATGTTATACAGCACATGAACACAAACTCTTCCCAGCTGAGTCTCCAGAAACATCCTAGTTGTCCACTTCCACAGGATGCCAGTCCAGCTCATACACTTCTCTCCCAGACACCCTCTTTTTTAAAGTCCTCTTGAACATAGACTGGGATCTGGCTTTGGATTAAATGAACAATCTAGCTCATCTTTTCACGAGGTCCTGCGCACCGTTACTGACTTCCTTCCTGCCCACCACCCCCCATGTGTCACAAGGCTTCACCTCTGTTGTGTAATGAGGGAAGAGTTACAGGCTAGATCAAATGTTTTTGCAGGCTCTAGGTTTGACCCCTAGGATAGCAGCACAACCACAAAGCTACTTCGGATACACCTAAACCTTGAACACAGGGTGGAAGGGTCAAAGAGAAGTGATTGTCATTCAGGTCTCTAATATTCACGGGAGATACAGATTCCGTAAGTGTTAGCAACCAGACTGAAAAGTACCAACAACAGTCCACACTGGTGGTTCAACAGCTGCCAGATTAAGTTTTACTGGTCACCAGTGCCCTGGGCTAAGCAGCAATTCAAATTTCTGACTAGGCACAAGAATGAATGGCAATGGCATCCTGGCTTGTACCAGGAATGCTGTGGCCAGCAGGACCAGGGAGGTGATGGTGCCCCTGTACTCAGCACTGGTGAGGCCGCCCCTCGAGTCCTGTGTTCAGTGTTGGGCCCCTCACTACAAGAAGGTCATCGAGGTGCTGGAGCGTGGCCAGAGCAGGGCAACAAAGCTGGTGAAGGGTCTGGAGCACAAGTCTTACAAGGAGCGGCTGAGGGAACTGGGGTCGTTTAGTCTGGAGGAGGCTGAGGGGAGACCTTATTGCTCTCTACAACAGCCTGCAAGGAGGTTGTAGCGAGGTGGGGGTCGGTCTCTTCTCCCTAGTAACGAGTGATAGGACGAGAGGAAACGGCCTCAAGGAGGTATTTAAAGAACGGATAGATGTGGTGCTTGAGGACATGGTATAGATGGACTTGGCAGTGATAGGTTAATGGTTGGACTCGATGATCTTAAGGGTCTTTTCCAACCTTGACGATTCTATGATACTATGAACTGCTGACAGAGCTGAAAAATACACCTTAATTTTCCCAGACCTGTTTCTGGAAAGGTGATACCAAAGGCCTATCAGTGGGCTCTTCTCCCCACACAACAACAAAACCCAGGCTCGTGTAGGATCTTTTACTAAGTGTCTGCTTAAATTATCTTCTAGAGCCTGCAGACAAA